CAATTTTAAAAAAAATATTTTAATTTTTTATGCCATAGATCCTATGGTATAAACGATGGTAATCCTTGTATCCTCAACTAGTACTTAAAATAGTTTTAACTATGCGATATATTAAAACTTACACGAGAGCTACAATGCAAAGTCCAAGATTAAGTAACATAGTTTTACTATTTATAAGTAAAGAGAACTCTAAAAAACTATTTAAAAATACAATGATGGTTCTAGAAATGAAAAAATGAAAAATGGAAGATTGCAATTTCAAATTCAATATATGATCTCTAATTCTTAATTATGAATATATTTGTAATAAATAATAAAACTATCGTGTATGTTTAGTAAACATTGTTTACGTTTTATATTAAACCACATTTTATTTAAAAAATAAAGAAAATCTGCCTGTACATTAATTACACTTAAATTTAAATTGAGTGTTCATTTTAATTTTGTATTAAGTTTAAGGATTAAGGCTTGTCAGCTATAAAAAAAAAATGAAACATGGTTACTTGAAAAAGAAAGAAAGCGTGGAAATTGATCATTAGAATGAGATCAGAAATAATGAACTGTTAGAACATAGCAATACCATTGTATAATAAAGTAAGTTATTTATATATATATATAAAAAAAATGATTTATGTTCATATATGTGTTTTTGACTGCATTTTTTTACATTTATATACACATTTACAAATGTTTCTATGCAAGTATAGCATTTTAAAATACGAATTTAAATTACTGTTATTACATTTTTATCGATAGATCAATGTGGGCGAATAAATAAACATATATATGTACTTATTTACATGTATATTGAGGTTTGATGAAATTACATAACCCAGATGTATGTTTATAAAAGTTATTGTTATCGTTTTTTTGTAACATTAAAGCGAAACTACTGCTTGAATTGAAATGTGATACAGCTCTTATAATATATGTGTCTTTATATTCAAGATTTAAATTAACTACTATATCACAAAAATTATATTCCGTGTTTTATATCATACTGTATGCTTTAATTTTACAATTGATCGGTCGGGATTTTCACTTATTGATTTCAATAAGAATTGCAAATCTGTTTACGGTAATTAGTTAAATTGATGTAGTTAATACTATACATTGCGATTAATCATTAAATAAGTAATTTATAATATATATATATATATATATATATATATATATATATATATATATATATACTATTGTATATTGTAGTTACAGAACATTGATTGTTTTCCGTTACATTTGTTATTTTCAATCTTTAAATATAAAAGAAAAATTATTTTGATCGTATTTCAATTCATTGTTGAAATAAAACTAGGTTTGTTGTATTTGCTCTATTTAATTTAATGAGTAACTTGAGTGGCTTATACAATTTAAATTATTCACGAAAAACTTTAAATAATTATTTGAAATCTTACTCAAATTGTATGTTTAGGGTTTATCATTTATCTCAAAGTTTACGAATGAAATACATTTTCGACCGTAGAATATCCATAGATTTTATTTTAAATTCTTAAAAATCATTATTACCAAAAAATTAAAAGTACTGCCTGTGCAATACATCAATAAATTTGAGAATTCAGTAAAAATATCCATGAAACAATGACAAATGAAGTAAAAATATCGGTGTACAAAAATGTCTTAATACCATTTTGATAGGATGAAAATAAAATTATACACAAATGAAAATGAGTTTAATTTGCTTTATTCATTGAAATAATTACTATAAAAAAATTAATAATTGTTTTACTATTTCACTGTTCTTTCCTCACATGAATTATTATTATAAGTTTATTTTTAATGATCAGTAAAAAAAAAAAAAACAAAAAAAAAAAAGAATATTAAAATCGTATTTAATTTTATACGTGCATTTGTACGTTGTAAAAGAGACGAAGTTCATAATGAAACGCGTCCTAGTGGCTTACCCATCGTATAAAGTGTTTACCGGACAAGGTTCAATCAAACATACAGTTTGAGGTAAAAAAAATAGACACACCTAGATAAAACATTTTCAAATCTTGACTAGAAGTCGACGACGATGACATGAAGTCGATCTGTTGCGTAAATACGTATATTGGAATGGTACTTACTAAAATTTCGTTTAATTTATCGGCGAGTACGGTACATAATAAATGTGCATGCACGCGTTATTAAACCACCATGTGTGGTCTTATAACTCACTAATTTAAATTAGAGCATATTAATCGTTTATAATGGTGATGCTAATGCGAACAGATAATAATAATAATGTATTGTATACACGTAGCATATCATAGTCTTACTTACTACACTGACGCTCATCTGGTCGTAAAGCCCGTGCGCCTCACATTGCCGCCAGCTCTGAGAGTCAATCTTTATTATTCTCGGGCAGAGCTTAAATACTCTATCCTCACACTTTCACTTATAAATTACTATCTTATTTGTATTAACTACATATTATATATATTTTATTTTATTTATTATTATACTGTAATGAATACAAAAGTAAAAGCATTAAAAAAACGTAGACTGTTATTATTATAATAAAAAAAGTATTCTAGGAGAAAAATAACAAATTTATATTTTCATAAATAAATGAAGATTTCTAGTTAAAATAAAGTGAGAAACAAATGAGATAAAATTATGAGAAATTAAAAAAATATCAATTTTAATTAATTAATTTTATTTTATTTTATTAATTATGTTATTTATTTAAAAAAAATAAAATATTTTTACTATTAATTTTATTATTTACTAATAAATAATATTTTAAATAATTATTTATTTAAAATGCAAAAATGTTTTTATTCCTATTTTTTAAAAATTATTTTCAGTATATAGAAAACAATCACAAAATTAAATTAAGTGTAAATTGAAAATAAAATAAAATAACTTTAATATTTTAGAATACAATAACAATTTCGTTAACAGTCATCTCTATAAAATGGTTACCTATATGAAACGGTACATTTATTGATACCGTTGAGCGTTATGAGAAAAAAAATATTAACACCAATATATATTGCGGACACCCAAATTAAGGGTCTAAATTTCAAAATGTGTTAAAAGAAAAATGAAAAAATGTTAAATTATTTTTGACTGTTTTGTTTTATTTTCAAGAATTTATGATGCCGATAAAGCAATCAGTGGTAGCGCCAGGATTTTTTGCTAGGTAGGGCCAACGGGAGACCAACAATTATAAGGTAGGGCCACCAAAAATGAGATTTCAACAAAAGATAAATACCATTATTTAATATTTTTTGCTTATGAAAAATGACTATATTATTATGTCTAAGGTCAGGTCAGTGGTAGGGCCAATTATTTTCAGATAGGGCCATGGCCCTACCTGGCCCGTCCCCAGCGCCGCCAATGAAAGCGATTAACATTTCTCTGTGACTGTATATTATATATGTTTCATTAGTTTTCAGTGTATAAAACAGTGGTTCTCAATCGGTGCGCCACGATAAATCTATAAATTGTTTTATAAATATATATTTACCAGCTTATTATTGATATTCGATATGAAAACTAATCGAACTAATCGTAGATACCAGTGGCGGATTTAACGGGAAAAAAATGGACATTTGCCGCCTGGGCCCCTACCCGAAAAGGCCCCCGGACCCACTGTCCTAAACCCCAGTCCTCAGTCTTCACTTATTTTCATTTCATCAAAAATTTTCAAATATAATTAGTAATTTTTGAAGTTTTTGAAGTTTTGAGTGGATTGCAACACACACATCAAGTAATAATTGGGATAATATAATAATAATAATCAATTAATAATGATAATATTGTGTAATATATTCGTACTCGTATGTATTGCCTATGTACAGTCAACTACATACACCGGCATCATTATAACTATTTTTATTTATATTGTTTCGAGGGTATTTACGACGTTTATGTTATCGTATAAGCATTCCGCATTTGATCAAGAACATCGGTCGATTAACAAATAAAGCAAATTGATTTAAATCATAAGGTAAGAATATATTAACTGTTAAGGGGCCTCACTACTGTCATCAATTTGAGATCAAAATAGGTAGTTTTTACAAAATTAAAGTTAGTTTAAGATGTCCGATTTTGATTCTGAAAAAAAATCTAAATTCGGCAGAAAATTGTGTATAGATCGTACGGAATACTTTGTAAAAATTAAATCTTATATTCTAATGAAGTGGTAATAAAAACTTGAAAATATGCATTTTTTCAAATCATAATATAAAATTTAAAATTATAATTAAAACCAGAATGTTTCGTACGATTTATAGACATTTTTCTGCTGAAAATAAATATTTTTTCAGAATTAAGATCAGACAACGCTAACTAACTTAAATTTTGTCAAATCAATGAGTAAGTTATCGTAAAATTTGTATAGTGAATTTTTATTTTTATTGGGTTATTGACATTTGCATGCGCGTACTCCAGTCGGTACCCGCATCTTATTTCACTTACACTTATAATCATTTACAACTAACACATAGACCTCAGGCGGCTAAGACGAGATTATGAATTGCTTAAATGTTGTTCCTAAAATAATAACCGTAGCGAGGCCCCTTAAAACATTTATAAAGTTTTAACTTTTTAAAGAATTTAATATTAATACATAGACACATAGTAATTAAGTCAATAATTTTTATCTTTAAAAATTAACAACATATGGTCCAATTAATTTCTTTTAATATTATTTTATAATTTTGTCTGTTGTTGCTAGAATGGCTAGACTCATATAATTATATAAAGTAAAAACATATAGAGATCTCAGCGATCGCCGGCCAATCGGTGTGATGGTTTTGATACACATAATAATTAGAACCGACATCCGACAAATATACATATTATTATGCCCTAAAAGTATATTAATTACGTATGCATTTATACCCTAAAAATTATTAAAATATCCTTTTTTTTTAAAAAAAAAACTTTAATTAGTTCTAATATTTTATTTTCAATTATATAAATTTTAATATTATTTTAAATTTACAATTAATGATTTTAATGGATAGATTCAAATAGATATAAACATAATGGAGAAGTATACCAAGCATAAGAGCAGTAGTACCAAAAGAAAAGAAAAGGAGAAAAGGCTTTTAGAGGAAGTAGCTACTAATCCGAAACAAGCTAAAGTTAGTACGTTTTTCCGTTTTACGAGTACTTCTCAAGAAAGTGGATCTATAACTAAAAACGAATCTATTTCTGTAGAATCTCGTCAAACTCAACCTTTTGTAACTATTCTTGGTCAGAGTGAATCTGTAGTTTCAACCACCCAAATAAATCTTAATCAAAATAAATCACAGTTCAAATCTAAAAATATTACATCTGATCAATCTGTTGAAAATAATGAGGAAAAACTAGAACCTACGTTTATTAATGAGGTAACAATATTACCATCTACATTTCCCAGGTTTGAAAACGATAAAGGTCTTTATGAAAATTGTTCTAAATTAAACGAAGAAAAAATCAGGGCTCTTTTATTAGCAGGTCCCTGTCAACCTAAAGAATGTGATTTATTAGGTAAGGAATATAAATTGTCCAATGACAAACGTCATTTTTGCTCATCGTGGTATTATATAAACAAAAAGAAGCCATTTGTTGGAGATAACAACAGTCCTTGGTTGTCTTATTCACCTTCAAAACACTATGCGTATTGTCACTATTGTTGGTTATTCGGAGATGAAGCTGCGAAGAGAAGTGCGTGGTACACTGGTTTTACATCCTGGAAACACTTTTATCAATTATCTATGAGACATGGGTTAAGTAAAGTGCACCTCAATAATGCAGTCGCTGCCGCAACATTTCTTCAAAAATCGGATATTCATCATAAGCTTAATAAACAAATCAGTGAAGAAGCTAAGAAATGGACCACAATTTTAAATATTCTTTTCGATACTGTAAAAACGTTATCTGGTTTAGGCGTGGCCATTCGTGGTCACCGAGAAAATTTACAAAATTATGAATATTCTGGAATTTACTTGACAATCATTAAATTAATTTCGCGTCACAATCCTATTTTATTCACTCATATTGAATCACCAAATAAAATTAAGTACTTGAGTAAAACAATAATGTACGAATTATTAAGTACATTAGCTGATCAAACCAGAAAAATAATTGTAGATGAATGTAAAGATGCAAAATTTTTTACGTTACTTGCGGATTCAACAATAGATGTAGCACACTTGGATCAAATGGCCATTTTGTTACGATACGTCCTTATTCAAAAAGAAGATAAAGATCCACCTAAAGTCTACATAAAAGAGAGCTTTTTATGTTTTACTCAACTTAAAAAAGTAGATGCTGCATATATTTGTTCTGAGATAGTTACCCTGTTATTTGAAAAGTATGGACTAGAAAAGAAACATTTGTGTGGTCAGGGATATGACGGAGCAGCTGTTATGGCAGGAAAACAAGGTGGTTTGCAAGCAAAAATAAAAGAATTCGTTGGTAATGAAGCATTCGTTCCTTATATTCGCTGTGCTGCACATCAATTAAATTTAGTTTTAGTACACGCAGCAGAAGAAAATACAAGTCCTTCAATTAAAGTGTTTTTTACGATCATTCAAACAGTTTTTAATTATTTCGCACATTCTCATAAGCGATGGGAGGCACTTCTAGATGTAAGTAATCGCTCTTCGAGTAATCCGAACAGTTTTGGTATTCAGCTTCTCAAAGAACTAAAGAAAGAGATATTCAATAAACAAATAGAAAACGATGCACTCGACGCTCAAAATGATAAGCCAAGGGAACTCCATATAAAAAGTTTGAGTAACACTCGTTGGGCGACACGTTTAAAAGCTGTGGAAGCCTTAATTCAAAATTTCGAATTCATTGTAAACTGCCTGGAAAACGAGATATCAAGAGTTGCAGCATCTGGAGATGATATTATGGCTGCCAATACATTACTATCATCAATTAATTGGTTATTTTTTTTTAATTTATTATGGTGGCATTCAGTACTTGACATAATCAATTCCGCTCAACTACAACTTCAAAAAAAAGAAATTGATTTGATAATGGCTCAAAATTGTATTTCAACAGCATTAACAAAGTTAAAAAATCTTAGAAATGAAGAATCTTATAATAATTTCATGACAAAAGCTAAAACAAACTGAGAAAAAATAGGTTGGGATCATGCCGATTTTCCAATGGTAAGAAATCGACGAATTAAAAAAATGGCTGGTGAAAAAGCTGCTGACTCTTCATTGGAAACGTCTGATAAACATAGAATCAATTATTATGAAGTTCTTGACACAATGTGCAGTGAATTACATGAACGTGCTACAGGTTTCAAAGAGATCAACAATGTTTTTGGGTTTTTGATGCCTGAAAATTTACAAAAATTGAAAGAAGACGATTTAGATATTAGTGTCAGTATTTTGATTGAAAAATACGCTGATTTCTTTACAACTGATCTGATATATGAGCTAATTAGTTTTATTGATTTGTATTTTTCTCAAAACAAAGATTTTTCTAACAATAGTCCACTGAATTACTTGGAGTTTATCGTTGATAAAAATTTAACAGACAGTTTTCCAGAATGTAGCAGTCTTTTAAGATTATTTCTTACACTCCCTGTTAGTGCGGTGAGTGCAGAACGAGTAATGAGTTCTTTAAAAAGAATCAAAGAACATTGTCGTGCCACTCTAACTGAAAAAACCTTAAATGAATACAGTATACTTTTTATCGAAAGATCAGTGGCAAATAAAATAAATTTAGACTCAACTATTGAAATATTTGCTGAACAGAAAGCCAGAAGACAATTTACAATTACTGGATTACATTAGTAATAAACAAGAGATTTTATACTATTTACTATTATACCTCATATAAGATAATATGTCTATAACAATATTAATTTTTTTTGTTTTAATTTAATAATAGTTTTAATTGTCAGAGCTTACATTTTTATAAGGATTTTTAGAAATTATATCAAGTTTGGACGATTTAAAGAAATATATATTTTTTTTTATATTGTTTTATTACCTATCTAGTTTAATAGTGTTTTAAAAAGGATGGTGGGGGGGGAGTTCTCCACGAGTAAGTATTCACGACAAGTCGACAATTCAAATTATTGGGCCCTTTATATCATATGCCGCCTGGGCTTTTTTTCCTTAAATCCGCCACTGGTACATACATATAATATTATTTTTTGTAAGTATGCCCGTCGCGGCCGTCTCGATCGATCGATTGTATTAATATATTTCACAATAAATAACCCTCTAAAAGAGTAAACTGTAAATAGTATACCTACATATATATATATAAAAAATATAGTTCACATAATTTATGGATTGGTGTGCCGCGAAAATTTTATTGGTGATGAAGTGTACCGCACTGTTAAAAATGTTGAAAACCACTGGTATAAAACATTTCGAAGTATGTGTAGTTACAATGGTGTTCAAACGAAAACATCTAACATAACATTAACGGAAAAAATTAAATTTTTGGGTTTTTACTAAAGTGAAAATGTTTATTTAAAGTGGTTTACACATTAGGCGATTCGAATGCACGTCTTTGTGCGTTTCGAACGTCATGATTATCGCTCAAAATTTAACATATACTTTTATGTGGGTTTATTTACACACTTCAATGAGACGCGCGTTCAGTTGCGTTCGAACGCACCGAAACGCTCATGTTTAATTTTATGTGTTCGGTGGCGATTTGCAGCATTATTTTTCCAATGTATTTTCAATGCATTTCCGGCATTTCAATACACACGGACAATTTAAACGCTGCGATTGCACCAAGTTTATTTACGTTCATTCATAATTTGTCTACTACTACGTTTATACGATAGCGTTAAAACGGTTTGAAATTAAACCGGTTTGAAATTAAGACCCATTAACGTCATGTAAACACTTAAAAACGGTTTAAAAAATTTAAACCATTTTAAAAGTTAAAACGCTCGCGCTATGTAGTTTAAGAATTTAAATTGAAAATACATGCCATTTCTCTAACAAACATTTTTTTGTATTTTAATTATTTACTTTCGAAATTTTATCTAGCTATTTTCAACCAATTATCCTCCTTACTCTATGTCCTTCGCAAATACATTGTCAAGGAGACTGCTGAAACAGTCAGTTATAGTTTTATAGAATCATTATTGTCAACGTTATTTATCATTTAACTGTTTGGTTACTTAGAAACTGACAAGAAAAATAAAAGTAATTCAGTAGCAGGTTTCATAAGGAACCATTAAATAAATAATGAAAAAATTACTCCAATAATTTATTAAATAGAAGTTTCAACTACCAAACGGAACTTTTGTCGGTTTAAGACCTTATAAAAATTGCATTTTAAGTTAAAGATTGTAGAATAGAACTTTTAAACCACTTATTTTTAAAATAAGTCAAAAAATGTATTCCATATTAGAAATGTTCGGAGAATATATAATTTCTTTAGCATATTCCAGACACAATTTTATTTTTATTTTACGTCTCTTTCTTTTTATCATCGACGAATCTCAATTTAAAATATTTAAATATTAAAACAAACTATAAGTTCATGGATATAATGTTATTATTATTATATAAGTTAATGAATTATTTAGGTGTTATTACATCAACCTTAGAAAAACATCGTTGAATGGAACTCCTGCGAACAAGTATAATTAATATATTTGCTTAAAAAGCAATGATTATTTAATATAAATTGAGATCTCATTATCATGCAATCTTAACATAATAATATTTTATAGCATACGCTTATACATTCAGAATTTATAATTAAGGAGGTTCATTAAAATATATCGATTTCTTGTAAACATCTTGTTGTGTATTTCAGAACAACAATTATTCGTCATCGTTATATATTATAAATCATATCATAACTTTACTGTAGTTATAAATTAAAACCATTTTAATAATAACTGAGTGTCGAAAATAATAATTGTCAGTTGAAAATCAACGGTTTTTTCTTTCTCTTATCTTTTAGTTACATCCAGTGGTGTATCCAGGATTTATATAACGGGAGTGTTTTAAAATTTAATAGGCCATTATTTGGCCTCTAATGATGACCTAGTATAGATCATTAGATCATTTAGATAATTTTGTTTGTTATATTTTTCCTCTACGGTAATTATTTTTTCATCCGTTAATAAAATTTGTTTAATTTTTTTTTGGCTGCACGAGCGCAGCAGTTTTTTGATCATTCATGTCTTATAATCTTAAATCGATCTGTCAATAAATGGTTCATACATATTTTATATGTACGCAAGTCAACTGGTAATATGCAAGAGAACGATTGTACTTCATTTTTATTTATCGAGTGACGATTTTCTGTATTCGTAGAAGGTACATTTCCCTCGACTACATAGTATTGACAGTATTTATGTCTAGATTAAATATAGTGAACAGGTTGAAACAATATCGTGATATACTTCACCTTTTTATAACAATAACAATGAAGATGGCCGGGAAAAATTTTAGATTGTTTTCGAGGGTCTGGGGGGGTGTGGCATTTTAATAAAAGTGACCACGTCAAACAAGTATTTTGTAGTATATTCAATTGGGTTCAAATGGATCGTTTTTGGGACTGAAAAAGAAAAGGATGAAATAAACCTTCAAACCTAATAACTAACCTAACCTCCAAAAGAGGATCGTGTAAAACGCGCTGTGTCGTCAAATCGAATTTTACCTGCTCATAGTCCACTATTCCCGACACAATTTCCAAGTTGAAATTTGATACGACCGAATTGTGAATACATATACTTGTAATCCATTATGTAGTAAAAAATATGCCAACATTGTTTGAACTTCACGAACAATTAATATCGATTTTCACAAACGATGACATGTATATATATCATATTATTATGGGTTTTGACTGTTAAACTGTTTGAGACTTCAGTTATTCCGATGTGAAGAGCACGCGATAATATACAGGAATTAATACGACATGATACCCGTGCAAAGGATAATGATAATTTTTAAATTATTCTTAAACAAACATAACCGACTATTAAATTAATACGAACCGGAATAGTGCGAGTCGAACGCCAAATACCACCGTAACATGTTTTGTACAACATATTACTATATCGGATATATTGTGCTTGTACATCAGTTTATCGTGCACATATTAATTAATTCATATAATCTGCCTGTACAAAGCCTCCTCGTAAGGTCAAGTGAATCACAGAAAATAAAAAATAAATATAGACCTGCAGAGGATTATTGAAAGAATACTAAAAGGACACATGAGAGGATATTAGAATCGGCTATTATTTATTAATTGAACATAATACATTAATGATAGTTAAATAATAGATAATATATACGTAATTCCGTTAAATTCAGAAAATAAAGAAAATAAGAATGTTGTAAGGGCAAGTGGGGTAACAGCAACGTCGTTTTGCAAAATCTCATTTTAATGGAACATAAATCTTATTGTATTCTTACTAGGAACATTGTTTTATTTTTTCATATATTAATGAACGTATTAGGAATTCAAATTTGTATTCAAAAAAGAGTTTTGATAATTTTTTTGGTTGAAAAATAATTATTGAATGAAAAAAAAAAATGTTGCACTTTTCCTGCTACCGGAGTAAGAGCAAAATCGGTAATTTTTATACAGTTGTATACTAGCTATTCCTTAGCCGGGGCAAGTGCCATAAACTAATGAAAATCTTTAAATAAATTCCATTGAAAGAATTTAATGATTTTAATTTATCAAGATTTGACCGACCATTAGTTTTTTTAAGTGTTGATTTTTATAATAACACGTATTAAAAGTGTAATTATTAACTAATAACATGCTTAAAAATGTATAGGTATTTTAAAACATACATATTTTAGTCACAAACAATTTTTATAAAATTTTTTTTAAGTATTTAACAAAAAACAAATAAAACATAGATCTCTTAAGAATACTCAGACTTTTGAGTTACTTTATTAAATAATATAAAACAAATCTTCTGTATATATAAAACAGTAAGCTGATTGACTGCTATCAACGCACAGCTCAAACCATTGGACGGATCTGGCTGAAATTTGGCATACAGATAGCTATTATGATATAGACGTGCGCTAAGAAAGGATTTTTCGAAATTTTGAATTTAAAGGGTTGAAATCGGTTTAATATTTTTTGACCAGGTCGATAACTGTGCTATTGAAAATGAATTATATTAAATAAAACTATTAAAAAATTATTAAAAAACTATTAAAAACTGTTTAAAAACTATTAATTTTATTTTTGGTTGTAAATGACGGATATTGCATAAATATTAAACAAAAATATCCCGCAACAGGTGCCAAAACAAATAAGAATCTTAGTTCAAAAAATTATTATGCATATCGGTTGATGATTAGACGCGATCAGGACTAAGTTATTTTACGATGCATAAGCTTTGTCAACAATTCATGGTCGAAATATATATAAAGATAGATAGCGAATGATTTCGATACTTCGATTTCGATTCAATCAAAAAAAGCTGCGTGCAAAATATTCTCAAAACAATTGTTAGATATTGGAGATGGGAAAGTTACTACAGATGAAACGGGATGTATAAAATTACCGAACGATATCTGCACAATCATTTATTCGCAAGATGCTCTCATTGACCAGATATGTCCTAGTGTACTCAGACAATACACAAATCATGAGTGGCTGGCAGAAAGAGCAATTTTAGTATCAAAAAATGTGGAGGTCAACGAATTGAATCTCAAGATACAAAATTTGTTACCAGAAAACTTGGTGTCATACAAATCTAGATACAGTTTGCGATGCTACTGAAGTTGTAAATTATCCAACAGAGTTTCTAAACTCATTGGATTTACTAGGCATGCCACCGCATAATTTACAATTGATCATTACAATTTAGCATCGATAAAATACCTCCGTCAGAGTCATTTAAAGTTGTAATACATGCAGATAAAAAACCACCAGAAGAACATAGAGGCAGGTATAATGCACCAACGGCAAATGAAGTTGCTTTAGTGTTAGTAGATCAGCAGTTTGATCGAAGAGACATCTTCCTCGAAAACCGAAGTAACTCACTTCACCGTATCAGTGAGATACATCGAGCATACGACGCACTGCAGTATCCTTTAATGTTTTGTTGGGGGGGATGATGGGTATGCAATCAATATACCACAACGCGATCCAAAAACCAAGTTACCGCTTAAAAAAATTGTCTCTGCATCAAGTTTTTACTCATATAGAATAATGGTCAGAGAAGGGTAAGACAACTATTTAGTTAATTATCGTTCTCTTTTCAGTCAATATTTGGTAGATGAATACGCCAAAATTGAAACTGAAAGACTAAATTACATCAAAAACAATCAAGCCAAATTACGTGCAGATAGTTATATTCATTTAAAAGATGCGATTGGACGACGAGACATAGAAGCTAATCAGTTAGGCCAAATGGTTATACTCCCGTCAACTTTTACTGGTGGGCCAAGGTACATGCACGAAAGAACACAAGATGCTATGACCTACGTTAGACATTACGGTCGTCCTGACCATTTTATTACTTTTACATGTAATCCTCGCTGGGACGAGATAAAAAAGCTCTTACTTCCCGGTCGAAGATCATATGATCGACATGATATAATTGCAAGAGTGATTCGGTTAAAAGCCAAAAAGACCATGAACTTATTGACAAAAGGTAAAATATTCGGAGAAGTGAGATGCTATATGTATTCAACAGAATACCAAACTGTAGAGAGGTTCAGGTAGTTGTAAGCTATAACTTATCGAATAGGTTATGATAATAACTAAATTAATATGTATAAAATATTATTTCAAAAATCTTAATTAATTTAAATTTCAATAGATTTAACAAAATTTAATCTTGGCAGGTTACATAAATTTATATACTTAAACCCGGCAACGACGGGTAATTCAGCTAGTAAAAATATAAAATGTAAACAAATCTAATAAAATCTAAAAAATAATTGTATCTCTTAATTATACTCAGACTTTTGAATTACTTTATTAAACAATATATAACAAATAAAATGCAATAACATAAAAAAAACTGTATAAGTACTTACTTTAATTATACTCAGACTTCTGAATTACTTACATTATTAAATAATATATAATAAATAAAATGTAATAACATCTAAAAAAAAAATGATATCCCTTAATTATACACATGCTTTTGAATTAAATATTAAGTAAGTACTTACTTACTACGTTAAATAATTATTTTAAGTTAAACTGACTAAATGTTACCATGAATATTTACTCGCCCCCTTTTCCCTCTTTAGGTAATGGAAGACGGCAACTTATATTATCAACTAAAACATTTTTATCAATATTCTCAATAACGGGATACACAAATATTGTGCTGTTTTTAAGTTCTTTTTTTTAATTACACAAATTTAGCACTTAAATTTGTATCTGTCTTATCTTTAATAATGCCAACAAAGTGTTTGATTTTTTTCCCTTGTTTCCAACAATATACTTCACCAATATCAAGTCATCTATGTTATCTACTGTATGATGCAACTACGATTCTTCAGCTATTTCTTGTTCTTCTAGTTCTAAATTATCTAATAGGTTGCATTCATTGTCAGATAATATTAAATTCTGATCTTCATTGTAGTTATCAATATTTATGTCTATTATATTTTGAATATCATCTAATAACTAGAGTACGGATTTTAAAGCAATAAAAAACTAAAATAAAGCACTAAAAAAAAAGCAATAAAGCTGTCTAAATCTTCCAAAAAAAGCTTTAAAAAAAGCATTAAAAATAGGTTTTTAAAAAAAATT